ACTATAATAAATCGTTTATCAGGCAAAATATCATTTAATAACTTATATTAAGCATTATTTGTATTAATAAAATTACACACGTCAAAGTACTATTTACCGAATCTTTTGTTTACAATTATATCTTTTCAGCCGCCTATAGAAAACTTTATTAACGCAGAAGATATAATTTATAAAGAATATATAGTTAGAGAGGTAACTTGATAATTTAAAATAAAATTATGAATATTTATGTACAGTATAAAGTAAATAAGTTAATAATAAATATTTATTATTGTATTATATAATATATCGACACAAGAAGATGCTGAGATATATCTTACAACGCATATATCTGTTAAGACAATAATTCATTCATTAGTTCCAATTGAATATCCACCAACATGTGAAGAATGTGTCACTATAATTTATCATATTGAAAGATGGGATAATAAATAAGCAGCATTTACAAATGTATGTACATTAAATTTAAAAATGATATATTGTCAGTTGAGTAAAATAATAATAATAACAGTTAAATTTAATTTTTGAAGATTCAATATCCTATGGGCAAGCCTGATGGTCAAAATGCTACAACTTTTCCTTATCTTAATGGTAATGCTGTGAATAAAGATGAAGAACCTGTCAAGGCATAAAAATATGCGAATTTGCAAGTCTAGTACTTCAGGAGATGCAACACGAATCAATAGTTCCTGATTCAGATTTACGTTTAAAAGTAAATGCAAAATTGTCAACTAATAACCCGAAAAATAATACATTTATGTAAGTATTACTATTCGTGTAATATGCTATATACGATCATTTAATAATTAACTGTTAATTATTTTTAGTGAATATTTAGCAGCATATAAAACTAAATGTAAACATATAACACAATATAGATCGCAATGCATTAGAAAAACCAGTATTAAAATGTTTAAAATGTTATGATAATACAACTACATCATCTTATTTTATAGGTTGTAGCGAATGGAAACCCTATAAAAACAATTGTCCAGAAAATGTTATCGAAAATGTCCGAATGAATGTGGAAAATGTCTGGGAAATGTCAAAATCGTCTGGAAAGTGTACCAAAACATGGTGGATTTCGGCGTGATGTCTTAATATTGTCCGGAATTTATACCGAAACATGGTGGATTCTGGACATTATCTGGATACTACGGCAAATTCTGAACAAATTCCAGAATTTTTTTTTTCATAGGGTTGAATAAGACAAATGAAAATAAGTCACAAATAAATGAGTACGAAGTTTATAAAAAAAAAAGCGCGTTCGCATTCTAAAAAAAGAATAAAAATGTCAAGTTTTTAAAGAATAAATAAATTTTACGTTGATGCAATCGAGTCTAAAAATTCGATTGGGCATTCAAGTTCATCTATTTAACAATGAAAATTAGGAATCAGTCAACTGTATCAGAAAATTCATACATACTACGTGAATTTGTAATTTGTAAAAATATCAGAACAACTTTTGATTACTCGTAAGATGATCGATCGATCGGCACGTGCTTAAAAAAATGCTAAGAGCGTGATACAATGCGATCTGCTGAGTAATTCTCTGCAATGCAATGTAATACAACTTGAACAATATAAAGTGTTTTTTTTTTTAATAAAAACAATTGCAGTTATCTTTAAGTGTAAATAAAGTCATGTCAAAGAATTATTCAATATATATTGTATTATGGTTTTTAATTCGATTGGTAATTGAAGTAAATTGCCAAAATACACTTTTCAAGCCATCAAAACGATATGCTCATACTGCTACACTTATTGATAATAAACTTTACATCTTAGGTGGTCGAGTTACTTCAACTACTAATAATGAAAATATTGGAAAACAATTTTTTATCTTGACGTTTCTGTACGATTTAATACTAAAAATTTAACATGGAATGATCTAACAGAAATTAATATTATTCCGGCACATCGTGCCGCTTCATCTGCAAGAGGTGGTGTATATAATGATACTTTATTTTTATATGGAGCAGGAAACGATAAAGGGAACCTTGAATTAGTTTATACATTTGATACAAAAACCAATTCATGGAGTATTCCAAAACTAACTGGAAATGAAGATACTTTCAAGATGAAATTTAATCTAAGGGGTATCGCTGATGATAATGGGAATATGTATTTGTTCGGTGGAAATAAAGTGGATAGAAAAACTTACTACAACGATATGCTTATTTTAGATACAATAAATTTGAATTTGAAAGTAGGAAGTTCAGTTGATGCTCCTAATATAAGAAATCTTTATGGTGCAACTTTCATTCAAAGTAATTTCATTATTTATTTTGGTAAGTAATCATATATCCTGTAATTAGTAAACAAATTTTGTCTTATACATTGTTAATAAATGTTTATTAAATAGGTGGCTCTATGAATAATGATCTTTTTGCTTATCCATTAAAAGAGGTGATTTAAATAAATAATATACAAATTAAAGTTAATTTAATATATATCTAATAATAAAACCTTAGGTCTATCTATATGATACGATTAACGATAATTGGAGTACCAAGGCAAGTTTTATTGATGGACTTTTCTAGTAGTAGATAATTTAATATTTATATTTTTACATTAGATAACTTCAGGTACAATTCCTTCCAATTAGTGCTCCGAAAGGGTCGGGTCAGACCCGGGTGATCGACCCGACCCGGATTTTAAATCGAGTCAGGGTTGGTA